GGGGGGGGGGTAGTATAATGGTCGATTGATACTGGTACCACCCGCCAGTGTTGAACCGAGAACAGCAACAGCAAAGAGGGTGGATGTGGGGAGAAAAAACAGAAGGGGCATCATTCCGCCGCCTGCTTGTAAGAGAGAAAGCAGTCAACAACTCACTCAGCAAGAGAGAAGGCTGTCCACACCTCACTCAGTCAAGAGAGAAAGCTGTCCACACCTCACTCGGTAAAGAGAGAAAGCTGTCAACAACTCACTCAGTAAGTACAGCAAGAGAGACAACTGTCAACAAAACAACTCACTCAGCAAGAGAGAAAGCAGTCAACAACTCACTCAGCAAGAGAGAAGGCTGTCCACACCTCACTCAGTCAAGAGAGAAAGCTGTCCACACCTCACTCGGTAAAGAGAGAAAGCTGTCAACAACTCACTCAGTAAGTACAGCAAGAGAGACAACTGTCAACAAAACAACTCACTCAGCAAGAGAGAAAGCAGTCAACAACTCACTCAGCAAGAGAGAAAGCTGTCGACAACTCACTCAGCAAGAAGAAAGCAGTCAACAACTCACTCAGCAAGAGAGAAAGCAGTCAACAACTCACTCAGCAAGAGAGAAAGCTGTCGACAACTCACTCAGCAAGAAGAAAGCAGTCAACAACTCACTCAGCAAGAGAGAAAGCAGTCAACAACTCACTCAGCAAGAGAGAAGGCTGTCAACAACTCACTCAGTAAGAGAGAAAACTCACGACAACAACAACAACAACAACAACAACAACAACAACAACTCACCCCCTTCCTCTACCGGCGCCATCATCACCACATCTTCCGTAAGAAGCTCTTTCCAGCTAAGTGTACTCTTGTCATCACCGCTGCCGTCGCCACCGCTGCCGCCGCCTGGTCCGCCGACGGCCCACCACTTGCGGAGAATGTCGCGCGCGATGCCCTGTGCGCGCGCGCGCATTTGTGCTTTCATATTAGCATCCATTGATCGCGCCAAAGTCGCCAATCTCAGCACATCAGTGTGATATGGGTGCCAGTCTACTACAAAACGCCTTTCACCATATCTGTGTCGACGCAACAGCCGGGGGTGTCACACAGCAAGCGTACAATACGTGCGGCATTAACACACGTAACACCCTCATGTGTTGTGTAGGGCGGCACCACCCTCCTCCCCCCCCCCCCCCCCCCCCCCCCCCCCCCCCCCCCCCCCCCCCCCCCCCCCCCCCCTGCATTTTTTGCTGCCACTCTTCCTTGAGATCCGAGGCGAGCCGGTCCTCTTGAGCCCGCGCTGCGAGGTCCCTCTCCATCGCCGTCTTGGCCTTCTCGAGGCTCTGCTCTCCCCCCACGGCCCCCCAACCAACCAACCATCCACCAAGGAAACCACAGCAAGTCGGAAACAAAGTTTACAGACGAACGAGGAAGAAGCACACGTTACGTTCCACCAAGACTGAAACCGCCAGTCGTCAGAAAACAAAGTTAGTAGACGAAGAAGGGAACACACACTGTAGACGACCATGCAGCAAAGTCTCCCCCCGCCACCATTTCCCGAGCATCTACACGAAGGTTGCATACGTAACAAACCGCACACCCCACGGACCGATATTTTTCGAAGCTCCATTCCTCCACGATGAAGGAGAGGATGACGAACAACGAAACGGTACATTTTCGGAAAGCTCCCGGCGAGACAGTTCCAGCGCCGCTATTCCGGTGACGCCGCCGTACATTGCTACAACGAGGGATCGAGCTTCTTACAATCGGCCCGGGGTATATTTGGGATACCACATGCAACCGACGGTTCCTTTCTTGCAATCCAACGACACATCGGTGGGTGGAGGGGGGGGGAAACGAAATCACAAGAGAAAAAGACGCATGGTGCTACGACAAGAACACACAAGGGAGAAAGCGGGTGGACAAGTAAACGGCATCCATGCACCAAGACTTCGTTGTTCTCACCGCAATAACCCCTCGCCCTTCGTGGCCTTTGTCGGTGTTTTTCCCGCAACACAGTTTGAGTACCAGCTTCTATAGAAAATAATATTTGAAGCATACCACAACATACAACACGGCAACGACTTGACGGTCGACGAGATTAAAATAAACACACACACACACACACACACACACACACACACACACACACACACACACACACACACACACACACACACACACACACACACACACACACACACACACACACACACACACACACACACACACACACACACACACACACACACACACACACACACACACACACACACACACACACACACACACACACACACACACACACACACACACACACACACACACACACACACACACACACACACACACACACACACACACACACACACACACACACACACACACACACACACACACACACACACACACACACACACACACACACACACACACACACACACACACACACACACACACACACACACACACACACACACACACACACACACACACACACACACACACACACACACACACACACACACACACACACACACACACACACACACACACACACACACACACACACACACACACACACACACAATTTTGATCCGAAGGATAGTTTAGCCTCCCCCATGCTGCCCCCTCACGGGGTCCCAGTTCATGGCAGATAGAACTTTTTTGTGTTTTCAACCGCACTGAGACTGGCGTCTTTTCATTGGTCAGCCGGTTAGCGCGGTCGACGCTAAAAGAAAACAAAAAAAAACACACACACACACACAAAAACGGAGTTGGAGAAAGAAGGACTGATCAGAGCACCACAGGAACGGGAATCTGAAACATATCCCCGAAGAGCAGAGATGGTCGTTCACACCAAGAATGCAGCTGGAGCACGACACAAGACCGACCCGACCCCTTACACACCTCGACAAACTGCAACTGTTTACGGCGGCTGCGAGAACCGTTACACCCGAGCACGCCTCCGCTCCTCGAAACCTCTTTATCGGACATGTCGACCCCGTCGTTTTCATCGGCTGCATCGGCAAAAAGGAGTCGGGGGGCGTGCAGGGGGNGGGGGGGGGGGGGGGGGGGGGGGGGGGGGGGGGGGGGGGGGGGGGGGGGGGGGCTCGTTTTTTCTCGCGCATCAGTCACGTTCATCTGAGAACCTGCACGCAAGCCTTGCCGTGCTATACGGCGTTAACTGTCAGAGTGTAAACACACACACAGAGACAACAGATACATAACGGAAGGGTGGCCACCCCCCGACAGGCAGCTGGGGATATGAATCAACATCGAGTAAGAGCTACTACGCAGAAGGGGGTGGGACGAGTTGAATTTGGGCAACACCCCGGGAGCTCAGACCAACACCACGCTTCTCCTGAGACAACCAGCCGCCGTTGCAAATCCGAAGACCCTCTCTCACCTGCTGCGTCGGTGATGCTGTCGTCCAAGTCCATGTCAAGCAGCTCCATGTCCATCGCCACCCCGCCTTTCGTCTGGCTCAGCTCCGCATCCTGTAGGGGAAAACGTCCCAAGGCAACGGGATGACGCCGAGAACAAGGGCCGGGGGAAGGGGTACTCAATTTCAGCGAATGATCGTGCCGATACTAAACGTCAATGCAGGGAAATTAATCATCATGTGTGGAAAGAGCTATTTACGAGCCGGG